ACGTGCTTCGCTTGAAAGCAGAATCTAAAAAGTATTTCTACAAAATCAGCTGTGCTTTGTGAGGGACTTAGATTGGTTGCTATTAATTACTTACATCCCTGTTTTAAATTTGCTTTGATTTTTGTTGTTGATGAAATTTTTTATTTTCTTACTTTTTGAGTATAACGATATTTTGTTGTTGATGAAATTTAACTAGCAAATTGATAACATCAGATTTTTTTTTTTTTTACTAGCGAATTGTTCTCGTGCCGACCCGGCAGGGTCGTTGTACACTGGCCTCTATTCATATGCCTTCTACTTCTTCGGTACAGGTTCCAATTAGAAGAAAATTAAGGATTCATCTCAATGAATAATTGGATAAATTGTTGTTTGACCTCTTGAGTGTTGAATCTGATTCTTTGAATTACATTTTTGTAAATTAATCTCATGAACTATTTTAAATTAGCCAATTAATCCCTCCTCATGGTCAGATTTGATGAAATTTCAGCAACTTTTCTGTTAAATACTAACACGACTTTACCCTTAAGAGTGCATCTCGTGTTGGTCACATGCTAGTATTTGACAGCAAAATGGATGAAATTTTATCGAATCTAACAATGAAGGATTAATTGGCTAATTTCAAATAGTTATGGGAGATAATTTACAAAGAGAACTGCTAGACCCACCCCACAACCTTATTTACTCAGCCCATCTTATAATATCACCCCTTATAAAATGTTAAAAACTTAAAACACTCTTTTCTCACCCGCCATATTCCTAAATTATCCATTAATTTAACTATGTTTCAAAAATTAAAAACTAGTATGTTTCTAATGATTCTTCAAAAAGTGTCGATATTAAATCATAGTCAACTGTGAAGATCTGAACATAAACATGGCTGCCTTGCATTGAAGAAGAACAAAAGTACAAACACCAACCTCTGAACTTAAATTGGAATTACTCTCTCTTTCAAAATATTGTCCAAAATCATAGGAAACTCAGTGCCAGTTTTAGGTTCCACTGCATGTCTTCTCCAGTTCAAGATGGGAATTGGTAGTCCTGCACATCTGTAATGCCCAACCTCACAATGCCTTTAATCCATGATGTCCATATTCTCCAATGGAACAACTAGTACGTTTGAAGATTTGGTGGTAATTAACAAAGAAGAAGGTTTGTAATCAACATAAAAAATAAAACCAATTGGGTAATTTTACACTTTAATCCACTCGTGAAGGGTTTAAGACTTACAAGCTGCCAAAGAAAGCTAGTGCGTTCTCTTCGAGTTCTTTAATTTTTTTTTCTTTTGGCTATAAAATATTTAGGATTAATTTTTATTAGGGCTTTAGAAGTCATTTTACAAAAGATTAAATGTGTCATTAAATTTTTCATCAAAATGTGGGTGGGGAAATAGGAGTGTGGGGTGAGTATAACAACTCTCTTTACAAAAAAATAGTTCAAAAAATCAATTTCAACTAAGATAATAATTTAGGAAGTCAAACGGCTATTTGCTCTTAGACAATTTGCAATTGCAAAATCCTTCTACATTGAACCATTACATTACAACCTCTAATTAAAAAGCTAAATCTGGCCTCCCAGCTTGTGCCACCTTAAGAAAATAAATAAATAAATAAACCTATTTGGGCTATTTGATTAAGAAAAGTCTGATTTAGTCAATTAGCACGGGAACCGAGCACATCATAGGCCCTCCACTAATCCAGCTTCCGAACCCTACTTTAGGCAAGAAACCAACCCTCAAATCCAAACATTGAGGGTTCATTATAACAAATTGTGTTCCCCACCAACCAGTCTTGTACGTCGCCCAAGCAAACATTTCCATGCTTAATTCCACAGCCCCATCTTCACGTTGCCTTTTGACCTCGTCCAACACCCATTCCTCCACAACTGGTTGATCATCATCTTCTAACGCCATTGTCGATATCTTTACGCGCATCGTTCTTTGCTGCTTCAATCCCAACACAAATGGCTCCAACGAGTATGTCAGGACGACGTTATCTTTGTACGAAATTGAACCATCTAAGCGGTTAAAGCGCACCCATGAAACCAGATTAGGGTTCTCTATTGTGAAGGTTACGTCAAAGTTGGCACCTAGCATTCCTCTTGAGATGTTAAGTTTGGACACGAAGAACGAGTTGAGTCGGATTTTTGGGGGTTGTGGAACGAGGGATGTGGCCATGATGACGCATATCAAGGTGACTATCCCTAATGCGAATAACAAAACACGGTGAACAAGTACTAATTTTGATGCCCATCTCGATGTAATAGGCTGCGATATGTAGGGGTTTGAACTCGAAGGGCTGTGTGAAACTGGCAGCAGCTGAATGGTGACTGAGCGCTGCGCTGTTTTACTAATCCCCATGGTTAATAGAAGGTTATGCTTATAATATAATGTAGGCGGTTACTAGGGATTTTTTGAGAGAAAGAGAGTTGGGATTTGATGAAGAAATGGTCGAGGGAAGAAAAGTTAATATAAAGGAGAAAAGGAAACTAAATAACTACTAGATAGTAGAGGTCGTTATAAACTGAAATGAATTCGAACCAAAATTTACCAAAAGGGAGTAACAAATAACTAGAGAAATTTCTACACATGAGTCATTTGATAACAAATAAAATGATTAACTGCGCTACATATCTCGAAGTAGAAGGTTGCTGAAATATTGTTGATCCACCTACTTCATTATATATGAGATAAAATCTTACCAATATATTTTTACATGACATGATCAGTTGTAAACGATGATATAAATTCATTTTAAACACTTTACATACAAAAGATATGCGCATATGAAGTACAAGCTATAATCAATGTTTTAAAAATCACTAGGCAATAGTTGGACAGCGTGAAGGTCTAGCGTTTAGGGGTCTAGGCAGTTTTTATTGTTTTAATGAAAGTTATTGTACAACTATTGTCCTAAAAATTATACAGCCTATGTGGTGCGCAAGTTGAGCAACTAAGGAGCTAACTACATCCTTTGGTGGTATGTTATTGCACTCGATCCAGCGAATGTGTTGAATGTGATGGATGTGGTGTAATGCGCTTCTGATTCCTGAATCTAGCGATTTTGACTGAGGAAGTAACATTCTCAGCCTTGGATTTTGTAATTTGAAAACAAGGTTATGCAAATCACTGTGAAGTTCTGGATCTTGTGCACCGAATTCGGTGGCCTTGACTATATTGGTAAGAATATAAGTCCACTGAACTATATCAAACTATAGGGACAAAGATACTCAAAGAAAATGAATGTTTTAATTGTAAAAGTGATTCCACTGTCTGAAGGCCAAACTCTGAAAGTGACTTGAGAATATCCAATTATAAAATGCTCAACTTCTCCTAGAAGGCTAATGAAGTGATAGTTTTTGGTGAGAGAACCAAAGACTCTTTGCCGATGGAGAGTTGAGATAGTTAACCCGTCAAACTTGAAAAACTCGCCCTCTAACCAGACAATCAAGACTCTTAAGCTAAACTAGTTCTACAACTCTGGCCTCATCTATCCAGATAGTCACCTTTGCTAGTTGCCTTTGAAAACCTCATTTAACCATGCAATGGTCGCCTTTGCTAGTTGCCTTCGAAAACCTTGTTTAACCATGCAATGGTCGTTCGGTGGCTGTAGTTAGTAAAGTAGTTAGTGTTTTTTTTTCTCAAAAGGGTTGAGAGGGTTTGCGAGCGTTGGTTTGTGTGTTGCGTTGAAGGTCTTGTCTACGTTACAAACCCTCTTGTATTTATATGAACAAATTTCTTTGACCCGAACTAGGGTTTATCTAACAACATTTGGATTTATCTCCATGAATAGTTTTTCCACCGGAATTCTACCGTTAACTAGGAATTTGAACCTAGTCCTTTCTCGTGATTAATTAATTCATTCCTCACCCAGCCACAAGTTTTGACCCTTACACAATTCAATCCAACGCTTATCAAAACAATCGTAAGTCCTACTCTAACCAGGACTCGATCGAATCGTGATCCATTCCTGATCACTAACAATCCCAATTCCTCTCGGACTCAGTTGAGTCACCAACATCTTGCTACTGGGCCAAATATTTCACCATTAAGCCGAGGTTCGCAGTCTTGTCTCTAGGCTAACTCCTTCTCGACCCAAATTTGGGATATCAAGCCTAAACAATAATGTATAAATTAAGGGCCTACTTATACTTAAAAAAATTAAAAAAATATATACTTGTATTTGTAAATATAAAATGCAAATGAAAGGATATATAAATTATAAAGTATACAAGCTTCTAATGTTAAGAGTTGATCAACCTCCTTATGAGTGTGGTAGTTTTTATGTTTCCTATGGTTTTGTGCGCATGATAAAGAACTATGAGGAGGAAACTCAATTTTTGTAGAAGATGACTCATAACAATACTGCTTTTCGAGAATTACAAGGTCATGAAAAGGGTGATGTGGTCTTTATCTCGTGGTGCCTTTACAGATAGTTCTACAACTTGCAAAGTTTAGTCCTCGTGAGTGTTATCTTTCATGGTGGTTGGAAGTGGATTTTCCATAGCTAAATTTATCATATTCCTAATGAATTTTTAATTGTGAAGTTGTGGTGCTTCTTTTGGCATGTTTGACCACTTGATTATGTTTGGCATGACTTGTTAATTTGTATGTTTATTAGATGTTTGTGTATGAGTTTTTGAATCATCAGTAGTTCATGTATGTATGAAAATGCAAGAAGAATTAAAAGTTGATCAATTGGTTAGCTCTACTGTTTAAGGATCTTATGTTTATTTTCTCTGTGTAGTGAAACTCGGTTTAATTAGTCCCTAATTAACTATATATGTACAAAGTATAGCCACAAATGTTCAATGAATTCTTTTTTTTTTTTTCCCTCAACACTTGTAGGATTCTTTCAACATATACACATGGTAAAGATTAAAGAAGGTTTACCTTCAACTTTGATACGTACGTTCATGATTTACAAGAATCTTCTACATCCATCAGATTGTACAATCTCAACCTATACCCTAGTACTAACTAAAAAAACAAATTTCCGATTTAATCAACTAGCGTACGAACCAGTCGAGCAAGTCATTGGCCCTCCGCTAATCCAGCTACCAAACCCAACTTTAGGTAAGAAGCCAACTCTTAAATTCAAACACTGAGCCTCCATCGTAACATCTTGTGTTCCCCACCAACCATTACTATACGTAGCCCATGCAAACAAATGCATGTTAAAATTCATAGCACCATGTTCTTGTTGCCTTTTGATCTCTTCAAACAGCCCCGACCGACCTTCGTGTGACACAGTTGTAGAAAACTTCACCCGCAACCTTTTATGTTCCTGCAGTCCCAATTCAAATTGACCAACAGGGAATTTCGAGAGGGGATTATCTTCATATGAAATGGAACCTTCTATGCTCTTGAATTGAACCCACGAAACAAGATTAGGGTTCTCTATTGTGAAGGCCACGTCCCAATTTACCCCAAATGATGTGTTTGAGACGTTAAGCTTGGACACAAAAAGCGAGTCAATTCGGATTTTGGGAGATTCTGAAATTATGGATGTGTACATGAACACACATAGCAATGTGAATGTACCTAATGCAAGTAATAAAGAGCGGTGGACAAGCACTAATTTCGCAACGCAGCGTGACGTGATCGAATGGGATAGAATGGGGTTTGAAGGGTTGTTTGAAATTGGGAGCAATGGCATTGTGGCTGAGTGGTGAGCTTTTGCAGTATTTTCCATGGTTGGTTCTTGTTAGGATTTTATTCTATTTTTTTTTTTTTATGTAAGAAAGAGAGATGTGAGTGAAGAAATGAGTAAAAAAAATTAAATTTAAAAGGGAGAAGGTGAAACTGAATACCTACTAGAGTAAGGTGGACATAACCTGAATAACGACTAAATTGAGATGGGAATAAAGAAATGTGTGGAGACGATTTGTGATGTGTGGTCGTTATTACCTGAAGTTAATTGCAAACTAACATTTGCTAAAAAAGAGTAACGAATAACTATTATAAAATTTTATAACCAAAAAAATTAACTACTAGAATTTCTAAACATTGTTAATTGTTAATTACTTAATTAAGAACAATTAATCTCAACTATATAATTTTCTCTAAATGCTAAAATAAAACAAAAATAAATTCATGCACCTTAAAGCACAATACCCTCCCATGTATTGAAAACAGTAAATACACGAGAGAAATAAAATAGGACACCAAATTACGGTGAGATTGCATATAAGCTCTACAAGTTATTAGAAGTCCCTAACCACCCATCAAATTAGAACAAAGATATCACACATGCCCAACTTACAAAACAAGTTTGTGAACACTACTAAAAATAGCCTTAGTAATTAAGCATATTCAACTAGTTGATCTCTAGTCCACACGAAAGGAATAGTAATAGCCTCAGCATCTAACTTCTTAATACAATGACGATTGATCAATCTACATGCTTTGTACCAAGAGTGATTTTCATTCCGATCAAATCGGAAGCAAGCACTCTAATGTATGTGTATGACATAAAGTCATCATATTAGACAAGATAAAATAGTATGTACGATTATACTCTTCATGTTTAATATATAATAGTATCATTGAATATAATAAAATACGAAATAAAGCATATCTAAGCCTAAAAACATGATAAATAAGAATATGCATGGTTTTTTATAGTACTCTAATGTATGTGTATGACATGAAGTCATCATATTAGACCAGATAAAATAGTATGTACGATTATACTCTTCATGTTTAATATATAATAGTATCATTGAATATAATAAAATACGAAATAAAGCATATCTAAGCCTAAAAACATGATAAATAAGAATATGCATGGTTTTTTTATAGTACTAAGTTTGAGAAATTTTGGACCAAATAGGTACAATTCAATTGCCATCCAAATTTTTCCAAACTTTTTGGAATCGGAAATTTTCGAATTCCAACAGAAAATTTTGGTTCAAATTGGAATATTCAGTCCAACTTGCACACCTATTTCGTACTATTATGTTGTACTAGTTTATGAGAAATCTCAACAATTGTCTTGTTATCACAATGTAGACTCATAGCTTTCTTTGGTCCAAACCCAAGATCTTGCAATACTTTCTTCAATTACAACAATTCACAAACACCATGAGACGTGCTACGAAATTAGTTTCTACACTAGAGCTTTACCAAAAGTAAAGTATTCAGATCTGAAACGCTATCAGTAATTAATTAAGCCAAATCCACATTTGTATACCTTTCCATTGTTGGAGTATGCTCGAAAAGTAATTGACGTGACAATACATAATTGGTTATTTGTGGCAACCCAATGTCAAGTCATCGACGACAAGGGCAACTGAGAACATCCATCAATCGAGACGTAATAGCGGATTAGGAAGATTCATTGTGAGTAAGATGATTCCAAGGAATACCTTAAGTTGTCGGGACAGGATTGCAAAGAAGTTTCAATCCCGAATATTGACCAACCATAGAAGTGTATGAACGGAAGATTATCTATTTATCACACTTCTGAGTTGTGAATGCAACTAGTCCTTAAATCTGAGAGATCACTGATCATCTCATGTTAATAAATGTGATCTTTGGCATATACACAGGGTAAATATCATAGAAGGTTTACCTTCACCTTTGATACGTTTATGATTTACAAGAATCTTTTACATCCATCAAATTGTACAATCTCAAACTACACCCTAGTACTAACTTAAAAAATAAAATAAAAATCTCCGATTTAATCAACTGGCATACGAACCAGTCGAGCAAATTATTGGCCCTCCGCTAATCCAGCTACCAAACCCAACTTTAGGTAAGAAGCCAACTCTTAAATTCAAACACTGAGCCTCCATCATAATATCTTGTGTTCCCCACCAACCATTACTATACGTTGCCCATGCAAACAAATGCATGTTAAAATTCATTGCACCATCTTCATGTTGCCTTTTGATCTCTTTAAAAATCCTCTCCTTCACCCCTGGCCGACCTTCGTGCGGCACGGTTGTGTAAATCTTCAATCGCAACCTTTTATGTTCCTTCAGTCCCAATCCAAATGGACCAACAGGGAATTTCGAGAGGAGGTTATCTTCATATGAAATTGAACCTTCTATGCTCCTGAATCGAACCCACGAAACAAGATTAGGGTTCTCTATTGTGAAGATCACGTCCCAATTTACCCCAAGTGATGTGTTTGAGACTTTAAGCTTGGACACAAAAAGTGAGTCAATTCGAATTTTGGGGGGGTTCTGGAATTATAGACGTGTGCATGAACACACATAGGAATGTAAATGTCCCTAATGCAAGTAATAAAGCGCGGTGGACAAGTACTAATTTCGAAACGCATTGTGACGTGATCGACTGTGATAGAATGGGGTTTGAAGGGTTGTTTGAAATTGGGAGCAATGGCATTGTGGCTGAGGGGTGAGCTTTTGCAGTATTTTCCATGATTAGTTATTCTTATTAGGGGTTTTTTTTTTTTTTTTTGGGTAAAGAGAGATGGGATTAATGAAAAAACGGGTGAAAGAAAGTTAATTTAAAATGCAGAAGACAAAACTGAATAACTAATATAGTAAGGTCGAAATAACCTGGATAACAACTTAATAGGAGAAATGGGAATGAAGAAATGTATGGAGGCCATTTGTGGTGTAGTGACTACTAGAATTTCTAAACATTGATAATTGTTAATTAAGAAAAGTTAATCTCATCTATACAATTCTCTTTAAATGCCAAAATAAAACATAAAGAAGTTCATGCACGTTAAAGCACAGTACCCTCCCATGTCTTGAAAACAATAAAGACACGGGGGAAAAAAACACTAATACTTTGTAACTTTGTTGATGAGAATTGTGAATTGTAGTATTCTCTTAGAGAATACAGGTATATATAGAGGGATTTATAAGCCTGCTATACAAGTAATTAGAAGTACAACAGGAAACCTAATTAAGGTAAGACTACAAATGTGATCTACATGTTATTAGAAGTACCTAACTCGCAATACTCCTCTTCAAATTGGAGTAAAGATATTAAATATGTCCAACTTATCAAGCGCATTAGAGAACACACTACTAAAGACAACTTTAGTAATTAAGTAGGGAATTGTTATTGGCACTCCAAATTTCTCATTCTACACTCCAAACTTTCTATATTTAGAAAGAAAAATACATTTGTGAGGAGTGTAGAATGAGATTTTTAGAGTGCCAATAACACTTCCCATTAAGTATATTCAACTAGCTGATATTCAGTCCACATGAAAGGAATAGTAATAGTCTCTGCATCTAACTTCCTCTTAATATAGTAACGATCAATCAATCTATCTACATGCTTCGTCCTAGGGGTGATTTTTTGTTAGATCGAATCAGAAACAAGCATATTCCAATGCCTATCCAAAAACGTTTCGGAATCAAATATTAGTTCCAATTTTTTAATTTTGGATTATCGAAATTTTCCAAAAATTTCGTAATCGGTTTTATTTTGAAATTTTTGAAGCATAATTCGGATCTCCAATATTTGGTAAGACTTTGAAACTTTTCAAAAAAAATTTGTATCCAACATTTAATATTTATCTAAATTTTTTTGCGATATTTGTATGTTGTTACCTATGTATATAACATAAATTATATTAGAAAAAGATAAAATTGTAACTTTGATTATACTCTTCATGTTTAATATAGGGAATTGTTATTAGCACTCCAAAAATCTCATTTGGCACTCCAAACTTTCTATTATTAGAAAGAAAAATACAATTGTGAGGAGTGTAGAATGAGATTTTTGAAGTGCTAATAATAATTCCCTTAATATATAATAGCTAGTAGGATTAAATATACAGATACAAAATAAAGCATATCTAAAATAAAACATAATAAATTAAGAATAAGAATGGTTTTTCTATAGTACTAAGTTTTAGAAATTATGGACTGAATAGGTAAATTCCAATTGTCATCCAAATTTTTTGGAATCAGAAATGTTCGGATTCGGAACAGAAATTTCGATTTAGATTGAAATTTCCAATCCAACTTGCACCACCTACTTGAACTATTATGTGGTTCCGGTTTATGAGAAATCTCAATATAGTTGTCTTGTTATCCCAATGTATACTTGTAGCTTTCTTGGGTCAAAACCAATGATCTTGCGATAATTCTTCAACTACGACAATTCACAAATCCCATAAGACGTGCTACGAAATTTAGCTTTTACAATAGACCTCCACCAAAAGTAAAGTACCAAGACGTGAACGCCTATCAGTAATTAATTAACCCAAATCGCATTTGTATACCTTTCTCCTGTTGGTGTATGGCCGGAAAGTAATTGACGTGAGAACACGTAATTGGTTATTCGTAGTAATCCAATGTTGAGTCATCGAAGACAAGGGCAAGTGAGAACATCTGCCAATCAAGCATGTGACCTAATAATGGATTAGGAAAGTTCATTGTTGATTAAAATGAGTCCAGCAAATACCTTAAGTTGTAGAGATAGGATTGCAAAGAAGTTCCAATCCTAAATATGACGGTAGAAAGTAAGAAAAAAATATGACGGTAGAACGTAAGAAAAATTGAGGGTTTTTATTTTTATTTTTTTAACAAACGATATTATCTCCAGTAAGAGGGAGAGGATGGGCTTAGTCTCACAATGGGCTAGCAATAATATAGTTCAAATTCGCCCTTGGCGAGAATCGAATATAAAACCTCTCACTTACAAGTGAAAAAGAATATCACTAGACCGTAATACTAAGTTATAGAAAAATTGAGT